CACTTGAGCCACAGGTGCCGAGCCGAGTGTGCTGTTTATAATTTGGGGCTAAGGACACTGTCTTATTTCTTAGGATTATATAATGAGGTAAAATAAGATCATATATTTGGAAGTACTTCAAAACTGTACAAGTAAGCCATACTGTTTTTAATTAGGGAAGGCTTTTTAGAGTAGGTCAATTGAGCTAAATTTGGAAGGAAAAGTAAGGATATAAAGTAGTAATGTATAGAGGTAGAAGAGTACTAATGTACATCTGGGCAGGGTGGCTCACCACTGTAATCCCAGCACTCTGGGAGGCCGAGGGTGGATTGACTGATCTCATGAGTTTGAGACCAGCATGAACCAGAGCAAGAACCTGTGTGTAAAAATAGCCAGGCAATGTGGTGGGCTCCTATAATCCCAGCTACTTGGGAGGCTGAGGCAAGGGAATCACTTTGAACTCAAGAGTTTGAGGTTGCTGTGAACTATGACACCATGGCACTCTACTGATGGCAACTGAGTGAGACTGTCTCAAAAAAAAAAAAAGAGTACTAATGTATGGAGATAGAAGAGAGTGACCCAAGGCTGAGGACGTTTCTAGGTGCCTTATGCCCGCTCAGAAGCCCACCTCACAGAGCTGCTAGAAGAGGTATGTGACCGGATGAAGGAGTATGGGGAACAAATTGACCCTTCCACCCACCGCAAGAACTACGTACGTGTAGTGGGCCGAAATGGAGAATCCAATGAACTGGACCTACAGGGCATCCGAATTGATTCAGATATCAGCGGCACCCTCAAGTTTGCGGTGAGCTATGGGAGCAGGTAGCTTGTTCTTGGAAATTAAGTGGGATGTTGGATGACCCAATTAGAAAGCTGGGTCAATATCCTTGCCCTTTTCTTTGGAGATAGAGGCAAGAGGCCTCTTGCTGCCCTTTGTCACTCATTTCTCCCTTGGGTTGGCAGTGTGAGAGCATTGTGGAAGAGTATGAGGATGAACTCATTGAATTCTTTTCCCGAGAGGCTGACAATGTTAAAGACAAACTTTGTAGTAAACGAACAGGTAAGCTGCCCCTGCTTAACTGCCTGTTCTGTCCTCATACTTCTGTGCAACCTGGTATGTTCCCGAACCCACCTACTTCCATTTGAGAAATCCTCTATTTAGCTAAAGAGCTAGCTGGCATCCATTTATTTCCCTTGGCTCAGGGAATTGGATTTTTTTCTCTATTCTATGTCTGTTTTCAGAATTTGTGGCCCCTTTACCTGAGATACAGGTGAGAGAGCGGTGGGGATGTTTTATCACTTATAAGCATATGTTCTGAAGAATGATGTTTGGTGTGTGTGCCAGTTTGGTTTGGGGTATTTCTTCCTTTTTTTTTTAATATTCAGCTTTGAATTGGTTCCAATGGACTATTTCTTGAGAGTGACATATGTCAATATGGGAGTAGCATTTTGCTTCAAATTGTTATGTGCTATTTGCAGATCTATGTGACCATGCCCTGCACATATCTCATGATGAGCTATGAACTACTGGAGCAGCCTAGACCAGCTTGATGGATCACCCCCAGGAGGGGAAATGGTGGCAATGCCTTTTATATTATGTTTTTACTGAAATGAACTGAAAAAATATGAAATCAAAAGTACAAACTGTGTTGTCTTTTCATGCCGGGAATCACCATTGCATTAGGCTTAAATATAGGGTATTACTGACAGGAAACAAAACAGGAGAAAGAAGAGTTTTGGAATTTGTATAGAACAAAGGTAGGAGGGGCCTGGACCTTTAATTCTTTTTACCTTCAGAGATCCCATTTCATTCATGAACTGGATAAGCATTTATACGGTATGATTAGAGTCTAACTGTGAACTATGGAGAACAAAGGAACCTCTGTGAATAAGCAGGGGAATATAAGTGTATGGTAGAATAAGATTCTAGAAAGTCCTTGTGTTCATGCTAATAAAACATAAAGTAAGATAGGGCTTGGTCTTGAAGGAAATAATGGACGTGGATTATTCTTCCTGCCCTTCCAGATGGAGGGACCAGCAAGAGCAGAGACAGGAAGGGGAAAATGGATGTGACCAACTGAGCTAAAAAGTAAGGGCTTTATTGGATAGGGACAGATGAGGTAAGGAATGTTATTTAATGAAAGGCCTTACTTGCCAGCCTAAACTTTTAGATTTGATGCCAACAACAACAATAAAGTATATCTCTTCTCATCTCCATTACTAGCCATTGTCAATCTGGACTATAAATCTGTCCTCACTTTCAGTGTGTTGACATTCTATATTGGGGCATAGGGATGAAAACCTAAAGGATACCTTCTTTTTTGTTGTTTTTTAAAGACAGAGTCTCACTTTGTCACCCTCAGTAGAGTGCTGTGCCGTCACAGCTCAGAGCAACCTCAAACTCCGGGGCTTAAGCAATTCTCTTGCTTCAGCCTCCTGAGTAGCTGGGACTACAGGCGTCCGCCACAACGCTGGCTATTTATTTATTTTGAGACAGAGCTTCAAGCTATTGCCGGCAACCCCCAACTCCTGGGCTTAAGCCATTCTCTTGCCTTAGCTTCCTGAGTAGCTGAGACTACAGGCGCCCGCCACAATGCCCAGCTATTTTTTTTGTTGTTGCAGTTTGGCCGGGACTGGGTTTGAACCCCACACCCTTGGTATATGGGGCTGGTGCCCTACCCATTGAGCCTCAGGCGCTGCCCATCAAATCTTTTCTAAATCAGCTGTTGAACCTTTTTCTTGTTCTGTGATGCCCATGAATAATATTCCTATTTTTCATACCCCTGAGAGTCCTGTTGATTGCCTGCCTGTAGTCTATAAACTTTCTCTTCCATCAGAAAGCTTATGAGAAGTATAAGCTTTTTTTTTTCTTATGTTTTTTGAGTAGCTGGACTGCAGATGTGTGCCACCACACCCAGCTACTTTTTTTGTTTTTAGTAGAGTTGGGGGTCTTACTTTGCTCAAGCTGGTCTTGAATTTCTGACCTCAAGCAATCCCCCTGCCTCACCTCACTCGTAGCTACTTGGGAGGCTGAGACAAGAGAATCACTTGAGCCTAAGAGTTTGAGGTTGCTGTGAGCTAAGAGGCCACGGCATTCTACCAAGGATGATAAAATGAGACTCTATCTCATAAAAACCCAAAAAAGTTTTGCATATAAGCAAGACTATGTGTAGTTTCTTTTATTTGTTAAGAAATGGGGTCTTGGGCAGCACCTGTAGCTCAAAGGAGTAGGGCACTGGCTCCATGTGCCAGAGGTTGCGGGTTCAAACCCAGCCTTGGCCAAAAACTGCAAAAAAAGAAAGAAATGGGGTCTTAGGCCAGGCATGGTGGCTTACGCCTGTAATCCCAGCACTCTGGGAGGCCAAGGCAGTCAGATCTCCTGAGCTCACAAGTTTGAGACCAGCCTGAGGCTAGAGCAAGACCCCGTCTCTAAAACTAGCTGAGTATTGTGGGTACCTGTATTCCCAGCTACTCGGGCAGCTGAGGCAAGAGGATCACTAGAGCCCAAAAGTCTGGGTTTGCTGTGAGCAATGATGCAACGGCACTCTACCAAGGATGACAAAGTGAGACTCTGTCTCAAAGAAAAAAAAAGAGAGAGAGAGAGATGGGGTCTTGTTACGTTGCTCACTCTAGAATGCAGTAGCATGATTATAGAATGCTATGTATGGCCTCAAATTCCTGGGCTCAAACAATCCTCTGACCACAGCTTCCCAAGTAGCTAGGACTATAGGCATGCCCCACTATACCTGGCTCAAAATATCTTTATTTATTTATTTATTTATTTTTGAGATAGAGCCTCAAGCCATCACCCTGGGTTGAGTGCTGTGGCATCAGAGCTCATAGCAACCTCCAACTCCTGGGCTCAAGCGAGTCTCCTGCCTCTGCC